CGGAACATGTGAAGCTATCGCCCTTCTCTTCCATTGGATGGCTGCGTGAAGTTGTCACCAAGATCTTCCGGTGGTTGATGGGGTAAAAGTATCTTTACGCCCATTATTTTTCTTTTCTTCTTTCGATAATCCATCAGAAATATTTTTTAGAAACAATTGACCATGAAGTTTGTCAACGCCCTCGCCCTTGTCATGGCCGCTTCTGGCGCCACTGCCTTTGCTCCTTCCTTCTCGGCCAAGAAGCACACTGCCCTCAATGCTGCGCTTATGCAAGATCAAACGGGACAATCCTCTTTGGATCCTGCAGTCATTGCAAAATATGCTGACCTTCCATTCCCTAAAGACTGTATCCTTGCTGAGTATGTGTGGGTGGATGCTGTTGGAAACACTCGCTCCAAGACCCGAACTCTTGATGCCTCCAAGGCAAAATCTGTCGACTCTTTGCCCAAGTGGAACTTTGATGGATCCTCCACCGACCAGGCTCCTGGAGATGACTCTGAGGTTATCCTTCGTCCTTGCCGCATCTTCAAAGATCCTTTCCGCCCTCGATCCGATGGCGTTGACAATATTTTGGTCATGTGCGACACTTACACTCCCCAGGGAGAACCAATTCCATCCAACACACGTGCCAAGGGTAGTTTTTTTGTTTGTTTTGTGTTTTCGGTCAAAATGCCCGGATTTTTAAATGTGTCTTGCTCACCCTTGATGGCCTTTTAAAAAAAATTGATGGACGTCCTCAGCTATGGAATCTTTCGAAGGAAACGACGATCAAGAAGTTTGGTTTGGACTGGAGCAAGAATTCACTCTGTTCAACTTGGATCAAAAGACTCCCCTTGGATGGCCCGAAGGAGGTATGCCTTCTCGCCCGCAAGGTCCTTACTACTGCAGTGTTGGCCCCGAAAACAATTTTGGAAGGATGATCACCGACTCCCTCTACAAGGCTTGCTTGTATGCTGGAATTACCATCTCTGGAACCAACGGAGAAGTCATGCCTGGTCAACAAGAATACCAAGTTGGACCCTGTGTTGGAATTGATGCTGGAGACCAATTGATGATGTCCCGATACATTTTGCAGCGTGTCTGCGAAGACTTCCAAGTCTACTGCACACTCCACCCCAAACCCATTGTGGAAGGTGAATGGAACGGAGCTGGTATGCACACAAATGTCTCCACCAAGAAAATGCGTGAAGAGGGTGGACTCGAGGACATCAAGCAGGCCATCTACAAGCTTGGAGCCAAGCACGCAGAACACATTGCTATTTATGGTGAAGGAAATGAATTGAGATTGACTGGTGCCTACGAAACTGCCTCCATTGATCAATTTTGCTATGGTGTTGCCAACCGTGGAGCATCTATCCGTATTGGACGTGACACAGAAGCTGAGGGCAAGGGATACTTTGAGGATCGTCGTCCATCATCCAATGCTGATCCTTATCTCGTCACAGGAAAGATCATGGGAACCATCATGGAAGATGTCGATGTCCCAGCAATCGCCCCCATGGACAAAGAAACCGCTTAGATCAATTTTACCACCGCACTAGTGGTGTTTTGCAAATACGTTCCCTGCCATTGTAACTTACCGCAGGGTTGGGTGGAAACCTTGCGACGACAATTGTTAATTTTTAAGACCAAGTTTTTAGCCAATTGCAATCACTGAAGGATATCCACGACGGTAAAATAAATGGAGAGGCAGAGTAGAGAAGTTTGCTTCTTGTACCGCACATGTGCTTGCCTGCAACCAAGCAGGCGCTGAACGAGTGACACTCGGTCAGTCTTGCCTGGTGCGGTTTTGTTGAAGCAATGCCGGAAGCAAAACTTCCCAAGAATCAATCTGACGTCAACCCTCGCAAGCACACGGGCTCCGGAAGTGCTTTCAAGACAACCTTCGTCCCCTTTGTCCAATTAGACAGCCCCTGGGGCTGCTGACAGCCTGCTGACTGTCACTCGACTGAGTCGACTCGACTCAACACCCTGACTTACATATGCCTTCTGCAGAATAATGCAGCTGTTCGTGGGCTGAAAACTGTGAGAATGTACTTCGACCATGGCATTTTCGAAGGAGAGTCTTTCTCTGTCTCCAATGTTGCATTTGTTGTGGTTGCTAAAATGAAATTTCCTGCCACATCAGAAATTTCATGTGGTTTTAGCAAAGGGTGCCTGGATTTTAAGCCAATTTTAGTGAAACAAGTCAAAAAACACAGCCTTTGGCGCTGTGGTATTTTGTTTCCCTGTTCCACTGGAGAAGCATTGAATTGCATTATCCGTCTTTTTGTTTCCATAGATTTCGTTGCTTGGGCCCGACTCTTCTTTGGCCAGCAGCCTTTCTCCTTCTCCTGCAACTACATACAATACTGTAGTCCACCCTTGGTGTTTGGCAAACAGCTGCAACCAAACCTGTAGCAGCTCCCGTAGCGTACGAGTACGAAATACCGAAAAAGAATAGCTTGTTCCTAGCGACCAGAGAGGCGGTCGGTTCATTTGTCATTCAGCTCAGTCAACTTATTGGCACATCCACAGGAATCGAATCAGATCTCAGAGTTGAGTTCATACATTATTATTAGTACAGTAACCCACTACAACCATCCCGAAATCAAGTCTCAACTGCGACTGCATTCCTCGTAGAACCCCGATAACAGCCTAGCTACAGTAGTGGCACATAGTGATTGTGTATTGTTTTGTTTCATCTCTCCATCAAAACTGTTCGTATCCATCTCAAGAGCTACCCAGGCCAGGCAGGTACTGTATCATCCAGCCGTAACACAATTCCTATGAGTCAAGTCGAGTCGAGTCCTCAGTCTCTGTCCTCACCAATGATTCTCAAAATGTAAATGAACATGTTGATAATGTCATTGTATAGGGTCATGGCCCCCAACACATAATCCTTTTCACTCATTTGATACTTTGCATGTTTTCCAGCTACAATGAGCCTGGTATGATGTGCCAAGTAGAAGGAGAAGAGTGTTGCCCCTAGAAAGCTGTATATTGCATCGTTGTATGGCAAAAAGTTGGCCGGAATGACGTTGAACATTTGCAGCATTCCAATGATACCATAGAGGAGGAATATCATGGCAACTCTGATGAATGCCGTCAATTCAATTCAAAGAAATGACGTATGTGAGTGTTTGCAAGCTTTGCTGTGGACACATACATGAATGCCTCAATGAATGATAAACTTACGACGATAGGCCAGCACCCCACTGTGTCAAGTCATATTTTGGATTTTTTTGCATGACAGTGTAGACTGAGACTGACATAGTGGCTGCCATCGTGGCCGCCATGGCGGATATGACGGACCGGTAGGCATAGAACGACGACACAAATCCCACCGAGATTGCCTCTCCCAAAGTGAATAGTCCGAGAAACCACCATTTCATGGGTGCCTTTCGGCGTGCATTGGGGTTTGTGACCATAATGGCCCAACTGACGGTAGAAATGATGAGACTAATGACGGGTACAATGGCGCCATTTCCCGCAAACGTCCATTGGCGTAGTGCCGGTATCGTTCCAAACAGAGCCACAAAGATTCCAGTGACAAAGAGTTGACCTGCCAAAATGCCATAGACTCGTGCTACATGTTGAAATAAAAATAAGCTTGGTTAGGAAAAAGTACGCACTCGTCCATTCAAAAGATAGCATGCAGATGTAGCATGCAGGGCTTACCAATGAATGTGTTGCGTGAATCCCGCGTCAAAAAGGAATTTAACAATTCCTTGGCCTCTTCTGGATCTTGCGTGGTGCTCGCTTGGGAAGAATAGTCATTTTGAGTTGATGATGATGATGATGAAAATGGATTATTCTTTTGGGGTGTGACAGGTCTCCGTCCAAACGCCGGAGTTGAGCTGGAGGCTCCACCGCGAAGACCTAGGACCGGTAGGGGCAAGGGTAGGGGCAAGGGTAGCGCAGGTTTCGATCGATATGCCAATGGCTGTATTGTTTGTCTGGCCTGAACTACTTTTTGAGTGGCTCCCAAAAGAAGCAGCGTTGCCAGAGGCATTAGTCGCACAATTCTCGTGGGTTTGTTGGTCGTTTCATTTGGCTTGTTGTTCGTCATGGTCGGATTGGGTTGACACGTTGGCGCTCGATCTATTCCCACGATACAAAGGCAGAAGAGATCTTTGGTTGACTTCTGAAGGTTTACTAACTAAACTTGATCAACAACCTAGCTTTGTCCACAATGATAGAAGGGCACAGTTTCACTCTTCTGCTCCTTGGGTTTACTAAGAGACTTAACTTCAAGCGCGGCCTTCGAGGGGAATGGAAGCTGCAAAATGATGTGCGGCTTCGAAAAACGTTGTCAAAAAATCTGAAACTGACACGAGATCTTTTTGAAGCCGGCTGCGCTGTAAGAATAGACTACCAAACAACGGGGGTGTTCTTCGATCTCCAATATCCACCACACCATGATAACAGACTACTAGCTAGTAACACAACCATGCCGGTAGCATCCCAATCTCACCTGCATGCCCTCTTAATCAAACTCCATGGCGTTTATGGACGACAATGATTTCTACCGGCTGCTGTCTGCGGCAGTAGAACGAGATGCCTCGTTTGGAGATGAAGAGCTGCTCAAGACCCCCTTGGAAGAGGGTCGTATCTATAACAATACCAAGACCGAAGGGGAAACCGACGAGTTTACCAAAGCCATTCGGATCCTACGAGACAGTCGCCGTATCAATCTCTCGTGGTTTCGTCTATTCTGGAGGCGGAGGAGGTCCTTGGTACCCAAGAATGTTGCCATTACCCCAACCATCTTATCCGGATTGTGTGGCTATGCCAGCAAACGAAGAGTCCATGACAACAAGAGACAACAACTGCTACTACAGCAGCAGCAGCAGCAAGCAGTGACAGCCAGTGGCCAAGCTGCAGTAGTAGAAGGCAATAAGAAAAAGAACAAGGTTGTCACTGTCACTTCTTCAGATCTATTGCGATATTGTCAAGGCTGTCGTTCTCAAGCGATTCAAAAAGTACGAAGAAAGAAACGCCGCAAGCGATTCCTCCTCTTCATGACGCCAGTGATTGCGCTCTTTAGCCTTACAGCTTTTGTCGTCAAGAGAATGTCGCGAGTATTGGATGAGATGGAGAACTTGAAAGATACTGATGAATGGCTTTGTTCCACTCTCCCACAACCAAGTGTCCAACAAACCTGTCATTTTGTCGACACCACCGCCTTTCACGTGCTCTACAATGACGGCTTTCAAAGCGACGAACTTGCCACGGACGCCTTGGTTTGCAATGTACCACAACAAACAGATCCAGAAATACGAATCTGCAATCCGAGCAAATACTCCATGCACCTGCAGCTCATCAACGAAACTCTCACCATGGACCAAGTCATGGGAATCAAACCAGTGCCCTTTCAATCCCAAATCACTCGAGAGGAACTATACGCACAAGAGACGGTCGTCAATCAGATTGTTCGACAGTCTATTGAACAATTTGCAGAAAACTTTGATTCTGCCCAAAACAACAAGGCTGTGCTAGATGTTGGCGCTGGATTTGGTGCCAGCTTGTATTCGATACTGCCACTCATGGGGCAGTATCACGTACAACCAACGCCCACCACGCGTCCTCGACGACGTCAAGCCAAACCACCCATGCTACACTACACTGGATTCACATTAGGGCCACTCGAGGTTGCTCGGGCCAAAGACCTTGCTGCTTCCTATCTGCAGGGAATGGAAGAGGTTGTCAATGCAAGCTTTGCCTTTGGAAACCTAGTGTCGGATCAACCACTACCGCAATTGAAGGTCAAACAAAGCTATGATGTCATTTTGGCAATTGAATCACTCTCCTTTGCGGAAGAAAAGAAACTCAAGCCACTGCTTCATGCTATGTTTGGGGCTCTTCGAAAGGGGTAAGTTCCATGCCATTTGTATGTTTTTTGTTTGAAATGACGAGCAGGGATGAAATGGTGCTCACGTATGTTGTTGGTGTGCATACATTCAGTGGAATCCTGATCTTGGTAGATGACATTGTGCTTCCTAAAGATCCGACCGACCCTGGTTTTCACAACTCGCAGCTAAAGGTAAACTTGTTCCGTCAGGCACTCATGCGACCCTCCATACTGAGCCATGAGCAGTGGGTGGAGCTCTTTCGGGCAACTGGGTTCAAAATGCTAGAAGCAAGAGAGTTGACTTTGGAATTCGAGTTGCTGCCGGATCACATTGATGTGTCCCTACCTAGGACAGAATCCAATATTCTCTTTTCGTACACAGCAGTGCGAGTTTGGCGCTTCTTGTTGGACACCTACCAGAAACTCATGCTTCGATCTTTGCTCGTGCTCAGATACGTGCTACAGCGAAGAGGAGACCAAGACGAGATTTGGGGGAAAAAGCTAGGGGCTTGGCTACGAATGGTCCTCCTGTCGCATTCGGCAACATCCACCCAAAGAGCAAATTCCTTGCGCAAAGGAGCCTACGAGAATGCTGACCTCAGCTACAATCTCTATGTTTTGAAACGCTAACTTCCTCTTTGTTCAGACATTACCGCCGTGAAATAGTACCAGGGGTTTGAGCGCTTGTCGAGATTGCCGTTCCTGGATACCGTACCGGTAGTTGTAGGTTGTGGCAAATGGTTGTCTACGCTGGTTCTTGTCAGTACCGTAGAAAGGTCTTTTCCAAAGGATTTGGCCAAGTTCGTGATCGTGGTAACGACGCTTTTCATCCGCATCGTTTGAGCTAACATTCAAATCGGTCGCTCCGTCCGGTCAGTTTGCATCCCTATGCAGCTCGCCCGACATGGTACCAGTACCGGTACGGTATCTCCACGGACTGCCAAGTCGTTGCACTCTACAGCGGGTGAATTGTTGATTGACTCGATCGTGCTCAAGTCAAACCACGTCCATGACGTCGTTGGCAAAAACATTAGACATGGGACTGGCTTCGGCTCCTGGGCTGTCGACTGCAACATCGCTTGGGGGCAATTCCTCCTCAAGGAGTGGAAATACTTGAATGTCGCTGATTTGCCATTCCAGGGAGCTGGCAGTCACAGCGCAAACAGCGACTTCCCCTGTTTGGCAAAAGTGCAGAAGACAGCAAGTGTAAGACGCATGCAAGACATCAAAGAACCAACCCCAAACAGGTCATCGGATAATGCTTACAAATATACGGGATGAAAAAGATTTCAGGGTCGGATTCTTCTTCGTAGGTGAACGCGAAATCCTCCTTTTCAGAGCTCTTCTTTCGTTTCTCGGCCACCGCCTCTTTCAGTTGGTCCATGTTCTCTGACAGCACCTGTAATGCTTTGGACGCTGACCGTTCAAACTCTATAATCTTTGATGCGGTTTTGATGAGGTTGCTGATTCGGTTGATTTCTGACTTTTTGAAGGGTGAATGTTTCATGGAGAAAATCTTCTTGAAGTCAGCTTGGTGATAGACCAATGCATAGGCCAAATGAAGGTTCCTTTCAATGTTCTTTTGGGCCAAAGCATGCTTCAAGAGCCGTAGAAGGGTATGAGACACTTCGGAATACATGTCCAGTTGGGCTGCTGCATCATCTTCGATTTCATCTCCCCCGTTCTTTTCTTCCTCAGCAGCTAATGCGACATACTTTTTGAGACAAGATACAGTCACTGATGCAAGGCGCATTGCCGCGTACTCGTGAAGATCCACAACGGAATGTGACAAGTTCATAAGCACAGCGCAACAGTTGCTCAGCAAAAACAAGTCGTGGAGCCGATTCAGATTGAATGTCAGATTGCGCAAGAGGGCCAGAATCACCACAGACCCGAGTGAAATGTCCTTGAGGAACCGTTCTTTGTACCAGGGAACGCTTGAAACCATGGTACGTCGAAAGGCATCCGATCCAAACGACGGATCTTGCGAAAACAACAGCAGGAGAATAACAATGACATAGAGTTGCGATGGCGACCGGAATGGCATGGTCCGAATAGAGGATTGTTGCTTTCCGTTATTGTCTCCGCCATTCTTTCCGTTTTTGTCTTTGTCACCAACTGTGCTGCCCTTCGATTGAAAGTCCAGAGCGGACACATGCCGAGAAGAAGAAGAAAAGTAGAGGGTTCTCAGTAGAGGGAGCACAAGCGTATCCAAATCGGAACGAACGGCAATCGTTTGTGAAAATGCCTGTGATGATTGTAGCAGAGTGTATAACAGAAGAGCCCCTACTTCTGTGTGGAGGTTTGCCTCAAAAGACGAAAAGAGCGTTTCGAAATTGAGTGTCATGGTGCTGTGGTGATGATGATGGACAACCATAGATGAACCCGGCAACGATTCTTGTTTTCCTTCCGCCTCAAATGAATCCAGGAGCGAAATACTCTCGTTCAACTGATCACCCATAGGACCGGGTAGATCTGGAAGAGTCGACGCTGCATGTGCACTGTCCCATCGATTGTCTGCCAATGTGGCCAATTCCTCACGAAAGGGATTATGGTTGACGTTGTTTTCTGGTGGAGAAGAAGGTCCCAGTGCTGTCTTGGTCGCCCGACGATTGTTGGTCAATATTAAGAACAAACAACTGGCCAAATCAGCCACGGGAGACTCACTGATCCAGAGCACATCCCTCGTGCGACTGTTTCGATGCATGGACGACTTGTAATGATTGGCTCGCGATGTATCGAATCCCTTTTGCTTGTGTCCCCATAGACCCAATGCCAAGCTGACCAGTCGAAATGGTAACAGAATGATTGTGGATGCTTGTACCAACACACCCTTGGTGGCGTCCAACAAGAACGAAGGTTGGTTTGTGTTGGTGAGTCTCAGATGGGAAGAAGAATCTCCCAACCGGGAGGAGGAATGGTCATTGGACTTGCTGATGGTTGTCTGTGCAGCCGACACGACCAAGTTGCTTTCGTACATGCCATCAGGGCCGACTTTTTCTCCCTTGGCTGCCACGACTTGCTGGGCAAGATTGAAATGATATCGAGCAATGGACCGTTCGGGTGCCCTGGGTCTTTGTATTTGCCAGGCCAACAATGCCGTGAGGATGGTCCCTGGTGATAAAGCATGTGAGCTTTTGCCGTTGTTGTTGGGATTGGTTTGTTCCATTAAAAGATCCAAAAAGAAATCAACTTGTGGAGATTGTTGTTGTGACTTTTGCAAGCTAGACAGCATTGGTTGGTAGAGTTGTGTGGACAGCATGACGAGTAATAACTGGAGCGCTAGAACTGCCGTGTCGTACATTTCTGGGACTTCAGTGATTTTTGCCCTAATCTTGTCGGAAGTCAAGAATCGAAATAGCGAAGCCGTCAACTCCTTTCCCATGTTGGAGTCTTTTTCTGAGGCATCTCTGGTCCGATAGGTAAAAACATCCACCAGTACAGCAGGTTGGTTGGCGTATTCGACAACAATGCGATGAATAAAGAGTCGGATCAGCTGGAGCGTCCCCGCTGCCGCCCTGGCTTTGCCGACAATGGCAATTCTCTCTGAAAATTCGGCGACCTGGTCAATCTGAGTTTGCTGTGGACCCTGTGGACACAACTCGTCCAGCATTTGACACACCAAACGAGCCAATGCTGCCAGATTGCTGTTGTTGGCTGCGTGACGTGCCATACTCTGACAAGCCTGGTGCAAGACTCCCTCGGGATCGTCGCGAACCTCGACATGCACCCACACATCAAAACCATGTAGCAGCTCTTGCCATCGAGGATCATTCCAAGGAATATGGGCAGGACTGGCTACCTGGAACAGTAGCATGGACAGAGTGTCCGACGCGTCCAGTCGCAAGGCTCGTTCAGGGTCGCCCCACATCTTCTCTATTGGATCTTAGGATCTTTGATGGAGATCGTTGGATGTTGGATGTTGTTGGCTGGTGGCGCGGTCTTGTTTTGTGGACCAATAAATGACGAAAAGATACCCTTCACAAGCAAAGCCCAAATTTTAGTTTTAACAGCTTGGTTAGCTGCTTTTAGACCACGACCAAGACGATACAATTTTAAACAAAGTTTTGTTAAAAATACTTATTTTCATCAAAATGAGAGGTGCGCTCAGACTCCTAAATCTTGCCAAGTCACCCCATCGCGCACCTCCTAAGTACACTCGGAAAGGGGCGAAAATTTTTGGAAGATCAAACCAAACTCCCCCCTCCTCACAAAATGAACCAAAAAACTGTAACCAACGAACTCCTGAACACTCACTCTCCTCAGAGCTCAACCTATTATCTGAAAGCAGAACACAGAAGAGAACGAAAAAATGATGAAAGCACTAGCTCGAGTTTGTTGTATTCTCGTTATACTGCCATCGATTTTGGATGGCAGAGTACTCGCAGACACAATTGATTCGGGATCTTCCAGAACATCTTTGAGACAAACACAACACGGTAATCAAAGGAGACTGTTCGCTTGGGGGAACCTTCTATGTGAGCAATGATCAATTAAACGATGGTGTGAATCTGAGAGCATTGGTTCCATTTCTTTCTGACCCTGTTATTTTGAACTTGCCCAATTGGCTCCCTTCTCACGCAACAGACGCGCTTCACATTTGCAAGGACGCATCTGGATGGTGCCCCGACCCCCGTTGCGACGGACCACTGAAACCACCAAGCTGCAAAAATGGTAGCGGAGGAGGCAGTAGCGGTGGCAGTAGTTCCAGTAGCTCCAGTAGTTCCGGCAGTGACAGAAGTGATTCTTCTGGCGCCAGCAGCTATAGTGGCGGAGACGGCGAGGCTAGCTACGTCAATTACCAATACAACGAAGCACAGGTGGAAGGAGATTCATCTGGTGAAGCAGACTATGGTGAAGCCAGAGTCAGTGACGGGGTCACAAATGTTTCCACTTCCACCACCGCAAGAAGTCGGTTCAACATGTTTTGGGCATTTGCGTCCCTGGCAGCCGTGGGGACTCTTATTGGTATCTTTCTATTGAAGAAAAATGTAAGCGAAATCCCCGTTGTTGGCGGCTGGAAAAGCGTCGAAGGGCGTCCCTCACACATGCTTTCCCTTGTGTTTCGCAGAAAAAGAAGTCAGAAGAGGACGAGTTGGACCACCAGCTTACACAGAGCGTTTCAAAACGACTGGAAAAGCTCCTTGAGGGTAAGACTGTACATGCTATCCACGACGATGGAGTTGGTCCGTCCTTCTTGGAGGTTGGCAGCAAAGGGTCGCCTGTACTAGCAGCATCACTAGCCAAGAAGAAGAGATCAAAAAAAGAAGAAAACATATGAAGAACCAGACGAAGAAGCGATTGAAATGAGGTGGGATGGAGACGACGCCTCGAGCTATGTCCAAATGACAAACACAAAATCCACCGAAACGAAACCCCCAAAGAAACCAAAGACTCCAGAAAAGGCAGATGAAGCGGTCGAGATGAAGTTGAACGACGACTCCAGCTATTATCAAATTTGAAGTGCCAATGGGTATAGTTGATCAGCTAGTATCCACAGAATGTTTGTGGAGTCTTATCATCTGGAACCGCGTTGTCGCCATACATAGCCTGCATCTCGACCGGTTGAACGAAATGCATACAATAGACCTGTTTTCTACGGTATAATATTATCAAATTGCAAGATTTCTCCAACTTGAAACAATACATACACTATTATAGCTACATAAGATGCAGCCAGAATCCGAGCGCCTACCGTAGCTAGTAGATCCATTCTCTGCCATGTAGAATGATCAATCTTCGCAGGTGCAAGAATCATTTCGGCTGCAAACAATGTTCCAAACTGGCAAGATTTTCAGTGCTTTTCTCACAAGCAAAGGCTGAGGCGAGGATGATGAGTTTGGCGCATGGCGGAGTGCGGGACTCGTCTCCTCCGCTCTGTTGGCTTTTCTGCTTATTTATTTTGGGGGGTCGTATTGTCGAGCAGCTCTGAAACAGAAAGGAAGACCTGACTGTATGCCGATAGGATTGAAGCTTTGTAACAACGACAACGATGGAGAATGTTCAGAGTTTGCCAGCCCATCAGCAGCAGCAGTTCATGCAGCATCTGGAGCAGATGCAGATGAAGGATAGCCTCGCGTAAGTTTGATCAACAAGAGTGTCACCCGTATCCATTCCCCCCCCCCCTTTTCCTGGGACTCACGGTGTCGTTGGGGGTGTCTGATCCAGCATGTACAACAATCTGGTGGCTCGCTGTTTTGATGCTTGCTCTTATTCGTTTCGATCCAAGACGCTTGACAAGAGCGAGGTAAATTGCATGGAAAATTGCTCATCGCGCTACATCAAGATGGCTCAAAGAGTGGGGCTTAGGTTTCAGGAGCACCAAGCTATGCAGCAGCAGCAACAACAACAGAAGTAGCGATGGACGTGGGAAACATAGGCAATTTGTCAATTAGGTGTTATGGGAGATCCCCTGCTGGTCAAAAGACACTTCCCCGACTAGCACCTGAAGCACATTCAAACTTAGCTCTAGCTAGTCTGGAAGGAAAGCAGCCAAAATAATTCAAAACAAGAGCTAGAATATCTCTTAAAAAACATGCACTAGTACATCAGAAGACATTATACAACACGTAGCACATGCATCACAAGACAAACTCTGGTTGGGCTTTTTATTCTTGAGCGGTTGCATACAAGGCAAATGCAACTTGGCTGCCAAAGCCTGCTGCGAATCGCAGCGCATAGCGGCATGCATACTTCCCACCCTTAGAGATGTTTAGTTCTCCGAGATAGTCGTCCTTTTCTGCCCAGTTGGGCACCGCAGGTACCGTTTGCTTCATAAGCACCTCTACCGCAGCAACGTCTTCGAACGAAACACCCATGGGATGGCCTGTGAATCCTTTGGTGTTCAGAATCAGAAGCTTCCTGAGCAATTCATCGCCGAAAGCATGCCTCAAAGCGGCAACTTCGTTACCAGCGCAACTTGAGGCAGAAGAAGCATGGGTACATGTCTCATGCGAGAAGTAGACTCCATGAGTGGCAATTTCGGCCTTGCAAATGCCATGAACGATCTCAACGTCATTCAAGAAGCGCACTAACTCTGAGCCGATGTGCTTGCGATCCAATGCGGCTCCATGGAAGGCAGAATTGGAATACTGTGTTGCCAAAAGACGAGCCTTGACGGCGAAAGGATTCAAGGAGAACTTTTGGCGTTCGATCGAACTGGTCTCAGTTTCGAGAACCATTCCAATTCCACCAGCGCCGAGCAACATGCCCGAACGCCTCTTGTCGAATGGAAGAGCTGCATCTTCGACGGCTCCTGCGGTTGTAGCGGCACCGAGGGCACGGAATCCCGAACCCAACCAAGGCAAGAGAGTTTCGCCGGCTGCATTGTCTCCAGCAACCACGACAACGCGTTCTGCACGTCCAGAGATCAGCATGTCTTGTGCCATAGCGATGGCTTGGGTGGTACCAGCACAAGCGGCGTTTGTCTGAGTGTTTGGACCGCGGCAACCAGCCAGCTGAGCCAGTTGGGCATTTCCCAAAACGAGGCACCGAAAGAGGAACTTCCTATCGAATTCGTACGGAGAACCGCCATCGTGCGCCTCGTCCATGTCACTGGCTCGCGTCAACAGCCGGGCAAAAGCTGATTCGTCCTCATCGGCGATTTGCTGGACAGGCGACGCCTTGACGAGACGATCCCTGAGCGAGGAGATCAATCGCATCGAACCAGCGGCTCCAACTGTCTGAGAGCGAAGGAATCTCATTACCTCGCCAACAGCCGCGTCCATTGCAGGGAAGCTAGAAGCATATACAACACCGGTGCTGTCGCGATACTGTTCGGGCAACATCCACTCTTCAGGATCACTCGACTTGCCACTAACAAGTCCCGCCGACTTGAGCGCTTCGAGTCCAGCGGCAACAGCAACTTGTGCAGCCACATCCATGGTATCCGCCAGGCCCTTGGCCACACCATAATTTTCTGGAAGAGACAGAGAACCCAACTGAGCTGCAAGCTTGATGACCTCTTTCTCGGTGTTCACCGGCCTGCGCTCGATTGTCTTGTCGGGGCGCTTCACAAGCTGGACAACATTCTTTTCGAGCATTTCTTTTCGGAGAGCTTGGCTCACAGGCTTGATGCACTGATGCCCTTGCACCAGAAGGTCCAGGTTGTCATTCTGGAACACTTGATCGCCGCCGGGCAATCCTGCACTAGTTCCAGTGATGACACATGCGATGCGTCGTCGCGCCTCGGTGAACTTGTCTGCGCAGCCCGTCTCAATCGCGTTCATCACATGTAGCTTGCCTGTCACAGGCTCCGAACATGAATCTAGCTTGGCCAAGCGTAGGACAATCGGAGGAGCCAATGAAGCTCCCTTCAGTTCCATCGGGGCGTCCAAAGGGACACGAGAATATGTTCTGCGGAACTTGGAATCAATTCCATTCAAGTAATAGGTACCTGGGAAGAGACGCCCCTCTGTAGGGTAGACTGGCGAATAGGGGGCACCCGCACGGTGCATGCGAGCACGAGTTTCCAAAGCCAAATCGAGTTCTTCTGGAGCAACTTCTTCACGTGATTGCAGTCTTTCCGTCAGCTTCATGGTTTCCGACATTCGGCCAATGTTAAACTCGGAGGACTCGGGGGTGCGCACCGATAGACAGTACATGGTGGCCAATGCACCTGAACCGTAAGAGAAGATGCCAATGGTTTTGCCAGGGGACAAGTCTCCATTCCTGCCGGCCCGGTCCACGAGAGATGCCAATCCAAAGAAGACACTTGCTGCGTATGTGTTACCGATCAATTTGCTGGCCATGTTGGCATCCTGTAATCGACTTTCAAAGGCCGAGGCAGAAACAGCCTTGAGAATTTTGTCCAATGCCTTGTCACTGTACGTTTCATCAAGGGGTTTCGACAACCAGGGTTCCAGCGTTGACTCTTCGTCGGACTTTTTCTCTTCTTCTTCTTTGCGGCGGCGGGCATCCATCAAGAAGAGTCGACCAAACGATTTCTGAACAAGTTTATTGTAGGGAGCATGGAAAACCCAATAATCAGGAGACTCAGCGTTGAACTGTGTTCCATCAGTGGCGTTGGATCGTTCCATCTTTTGGATGAGCCGTTCATAGACGTCTTCCAATGCCCTGTAGTAGCAAGATTGCGACATAGATCCATCCACAGTAGGATACTCGACCGTGTGGTCGGGTTTGTAAAAGTCATATACATTTGCGGAATGGGTGGCACGATGCTTGGGGTTGAATACCAAGGGAGCATCTCGTCCCACCAGAACAGCCACGGCTCCAGCTCCACAGGTAGGACGGCCTGAACCCCTGGCATAGGCAGCAATGTCTGCCGCCACCACAATGGCATAACGTCCGTCCCAGCCATCAGATTCGACCCAGGCAAAGGCATTCAATAGTGCAGCAGTACCGCCATAGCAGGCGTTGACGACAGTGGCCCCCTCAATGTCTGTATTTCCAGGGAACAAATCCATCAAGATAGTCTTTGTACTCTTGGATTTGTCCACAAGGGATTCAGTTCCCACTTCCAATCTGCCAACATCCATAGGGTTAATATCATACCTACCGGCAGCAATAGCCAATAGAGGTGAACAAGCAAGACGTGCATGAGTGAGAAATAGCCACGGCCATGGCAAAAAAGCAAAGAGGCAAAATCAAAGCCAAACCAAACTCCTGATGCAAGCGGTGCCAAACGACCAAGAATAACCAAAAGATGATTTCACACCCATCCACTTACTTTTCCAAGAGGGAGTGGACCACTGTCAAGGCCAAACTGTTTACGTCTTCGGCATCCCCACAGACAGACAATCCTTCCTGTCCAAGTCCCTGGGTGTACTTCCCGGCTGGCACTCCAGTGTGCTCTTCCAACTTGGCTTGAGAAATGTAGGTGGAAGGGGTATAGACCTCCAAGGCCAAGATACCCACATTTTTGCCAATGTCCGACGTCATTATCTTTGCAGGTTCGAGTTAATTGTTCGTGTGTAAGTTTTCAGTTCGTTTTTGTTTTTGCTTTGTTTTGTTTTTGTTGGATGAAGATCCAAATAATGAGCAATCAAAGTAATTGAACTCTTCGATTGTTGGCTGTTAGCTGCGACCAAGAGAACAGATGTATTCCTTTCTGCGCAGTCTTTGAAAGTCCTTGCCCTGGTTGTTTCCCTACTCCTTGTAGTTCAAACCAGGTCTTTCAAATAATTTGTGAAGCTGCAAGAGCAAAGACGACGCTGCCCTGGCTTTGATGATGATACGAGCGTGATGAGTGATGGGGACCGGTGAAACCTCTCTAGCTCTGGGATACTTTATCTTGCATTGGAGGGGTGATGACTACTCTTGCAAGGTGTATGGAACCAGCCATCAAATCACAGACGCAGCTGCCAAATTGGCGTGGACAGGCTCCAATCAGATTGCTTTCACTGCAAATGTTTTCTACTCTGTTCTGGAGTATACCGGTACCACTACCAGTACTGGTACTGGTTACCAGTACGAACCTGGTACTCATAGGAGCCTCCAACCACGGATCCATGAAAATAGACGCGTGGGAAACAGAGATTTAGACTTGTAATCGATGCAGGAAGGCGAGCATGAAGGGTTCGAACATGGGAGATGGCTTTGGTTATCAGGTAGATGCGGTAAACAAATTTTGTATTCAAAAGTTCAGAGAAAACATGACTTTAACCTTATAATTACCTCATCTACTGCCGTTTTGTACTGTAGTGAACGTGCAGTGCCTACTAGCTAGCTAGCTAGCTAGCTAGTACTAGTAGTCTAGTACCGCCATGGCCTTCTAAACATCCTCGGGAAGCCATTTCGGTTTGCGGGCCCGCGAATTAGAGCCATGAAACCAATGTCATTTCTTTTCTATGCATGTAGCGGTACCCAACTCGAAGAGTCATTGCTACAATACACAACAGTTATAGCTCATGCAACAGACGATGGTTCCTGTGAGAACCAAGATGGGGAGTGATCTAATGAGAGTGGCCATTGGATATCCCTGTGTTTCCTCTCAAAGCCATGTGTAGATGTTTGTGACTATTTGCATGCCTAACGGAGAGGAGGAGTGGCCCTTGCATCTGCTAGCTAGGTTTCCACCAATGCTGGACACCAATAACATGCAATGGACGCTGGATGACACTCCTCCATTGGTCTCTGTCTGGGTAATTTGGGTGGGTGGGGTTTTGGTTCCAAGTGGGATGCATACCTGTAGGATGCATGTTCAGGTTGATCATGTCCGGGTTTTCAACCACCATCTCTCTGGGAAGCTCCTGCTAGCTAGACGTATATTCTAGTATTTACGGTACGATACTACCAAAAAAGTTTCTAGGCTCAATCAAGCAGGTGGCAAAGGGTCTCCAACCTTACCAGTACATGTAACATACTAGCTAGTACCGCAAGGAAGGAGACTTGAATTGGATAAGTTCTAAACCCCAAGGTGAAACCAGCTGTATAGACAGCTTAGCTTGCTTGTTACTCCTCAGGAGACGTCAGTCGAAGCTTCGATCTTCGATCTTCTCAACCTCCGATAACCACTGCTTCCATCTTCATAACCACTGCTTCCATCTTCGTCGCATGCAAGAGGGCATCCTTGCCATCATCATAAATCGTTGTCTGAGATAGTAAGTAAGTTTTAATAAAGATAAGAAAGGCTGATGCTGGCATGCTATTCATGATGTTTGACTTTCTCGAACGAAGAAGGTGCCAATGACGAGAATCTCACTGCGACAACTCATTCCATGAGCAATCCTTGAGAATCAGATCACAATTTTCCGAGGCCCTCTTCATTCTTGACGTTTGTTAATGAGGACATGTGATTTCGGCATGCTTTCTGTTACCATGATGTTACTTCCCAGGAACTGACCAAGATATGCTCAACTGGACTGTTTCCCTCTTTCTTACTATACCCACAGCAACAATGATTCCAAGAATTTTTTTATTTTCCCTGTGGTTACCTCTGGTTCAGCTGCCCGCAGCCGTGGCATTTTCTTCCATTGATCTGCCTCTCAACAGGAGACTCGCGCCAAAACACAATGTACTACCAGTTCTGACACTCCGTGGAGGCAGTGAGCAAGAGGTTTCCAACAATGATTCATCGACAACCTCAATATCATTGAGCCAAAACACCTTGTCGGCTGTATTTCTTGCGGGAGCACAGCTCTATTCGCAATCTCTGGAAAAGAATCCAATCATCACAAAGTCCGTCACGGCTGGCTTAATCTTTGCCGTTTCGGACTTGATTGCACAAGGCATAGAACGAAGTGCCGACAAGAAAAAGCCACACGACAAAAAGCGCACATTTGCAGCATCCCTGGTCGGATTACTATACTTTGGACCTGCAGGTGAGTACACAACATACACAAAGCGAAATCTTTCAGTGGCATCTACTGGCTAGTTATGGCTCGGTTCGCTACTAGCTCTGGACTCACACTTCTTGTTTTTCTGGAAAGCACATTTTTGGTACGACAACATCTTCAAGCTGTTTCCAGGTGAGTTGAGCCAGGAAGATCTTTCGGACAATCAGCCAGGATATTGTACATTGGTCACAGCATGATACTTACAGTACTTGATGCTGTTTTGAATTGATACGTAAAGGAACATCTCTCTTTTCAACCTTGCAGAAAGCAGCCATGGGACAAATGTTCTTTGGGCCATCTTTCACCTGCATCTTTTTTGCAACTAGTCTATTGCAATCGGGAAACTTCAGTTTGGGGAACTGGTTCCGCAAAATCAAGTCTGATTTAGCGGGAGCATGGTTGGCTGGGGTTGGCTATTGGCCTTTGGTAGACCTCATCAGCTTCTCCGTGATACCCATGCGATGGATTCCACTCTTTGTCAACGTTTGCTCACTGATATGGAATATTTACCTATCCATTGTGGCTAATCGAAAGACCAAGGGCGCAGTCGCCTAGCTAGCTAGCAAAATGTATGTACAATAGCCAAAGGAAGATACCAAATAGTCATATGGAATAGAATATCTCTGATAGCTTTTCGAAAAACAAACCTGTACACTGTACCTACAACCGGATGGAGACCGGCTTGTTGTGAGAGTTGAGGCAGGCGTTGAGGCCTCTTGGAATCATTCCTGCAATCCCCAAGGAAGTAGGACTTATTCTGTAGACTTGACGAATGCTCTTGATCTCTGATTGATCCAGTTCAAAACGTCTGTGGAACTTTCTCTGCTGGGATCAACGGTCAGCATCCTGACCCGGTAGCATTGGGGAAGGACCCAAAATATCATGATGTGCTGGTACCACACGGCGTGTAGTTGCGTACTGTACGCTGTACGGTACATGGAGCTCTTTGGCTGTCCGCCTCCAAGAAGGCGCCAAGAATCCTTGGGTTAGCTTGAGGACTGCGGCACCGGTACAGTCGTAGAATCCGTTCGGGAATGATCTTCGCGCAAGGGCTGGCTCGAAGGCCAAATACCCCATCTGAAAGAGTCACAGTCAGTACATCATAGCAAACCGGCCGCACGGCCGCATGCGCAATCAAGCTTTACAATGGTGGTCAACAGAAACCGTAGCCAAATTATCTATTGTAGTTTTAGTAGTTGGGGAATTATTTCGAAAATTTAAGTGACAATTCCAGCTCCGACAAGACACGTAGCCGCGCCGGCTGGCGAAGTCTTGTAAGTCGGAGTTGGATTGTGATCTCATCATTTCCCACCGCTGTTCTTTATTGGCATTGGCAAAGAGGCAAGGGGAGAGACAACTCTTCGCATACATACTACAGTACATCAATAGCAGTGGTGTCTACATGACGAAAATCTCTCACTAATCTATCTAATTTGGGCCAAAGGCAATTCAAATAATTCATTATACCCATTGACTTTGGTATATCGATCAACTCTGACCGTTTGCCATCAAGATCAAACCCTGTATACATAGAACGTTTGAGGCTATTATCATCATCGGATTTCTCTCCCTCCCCGGGAAGCCCTGACAAAGCGGTTTCTTCCTTTATTATAAAGCCATTCACGCAATGCCCTTTTCGAATCTCAATCGACGACGCCCCATGGCGCTGGCGGCAGCATTGCTGGCCATGATGGCTCCAACGGTAGTCGCACAAGTGCATTGCAATATGTGTGCCAATGGAGCTCACATGACTTGGCCCTTGGCAGTCTTGACTCCTCAAGGAACCACTTGTGCAGAAATGTCAACCAGAATGGGCGGATCCACAGGAAATGTTTGTCGAGAGCAGCAATCCTTTTGGAGAACTCCCTGCTGTGGCCCCAACAAGCCACGAGACGTGCGAGTCGCTCCTACCCCAGCTCCCGTGGTTCCAGGTGCTGGTTCAGGGCCACACCCGAGATGTGATATCTGCATTGGTGGTGGTTTCCCAGGCAATCCTGCTATGGTTATCAACATGCTTTATCTTAATGTCGGCGATTGTGGACAATACTATAACACTGGTCGACAAGGCAATCTACCCGAGCATTTGTGTCAAGCATTGCAGTACTTTGCCTATGAGCCTTGTGGCTGTGGTGCTCAACAAGCACCACCCGGACCTGGTCCTTCTCCTGGCGGTGGGAATGGAGGAGGTAATGGAGGCGGCAACTCTCCCGACAAGAAGACTCCGGATGGAGATGGAAAGGAGAACCTGAAGCTATCCAATTCTCGCGGTGGTGCCGGTGGCAGGTATGCTGGAGTAAGGCGTGGCCTCAAAGGAAAAATCCGAGCCAAACCTATCGTGGATGATGCAACAACCGTTGTCACAATAGAAGCATAGAGACAGGCTACTCACTTTTGGAGAGTACGTAGCCTTTTGTCGATTGAATGATGAATCATCCCGTGCGATTTCACCCGCTTTAGACAACTCGCCCCCATCACCACCATGGCAATAGCAGACAAGAGGAAAGGTGTTTTGAGTTTTGTAGACTACTAGAGTAACACATAATGATGTTGAGGTCATATTTTACGCATGTGTGTGGCAACTCTGTAAGCTAATACCTAATACAGTACTGAGCAGAATCTTTTGGGGGTGTACTCTAGCTAGCTACTTTTCATGGCTTCTACTTTTGCAAATCTGGCGATTGAAAGTCCCACATCCTTCCCTCCGCGGTTCTACTACGGAAGTATACTCCGAAAGGCTGAAGCTACCAGTATTTGATGTCCAAAGGGACACTCTCTGTCCTCGATTGACAATTGACAACCTTTAGAAGACGAGGTGTGGCTGCACCCATGCTTGGATTCGGTTCGAATCGAACCAATCGAATAAGATCGGATCAAATCGATTGAGATTCACAATCGGCAATGACACGATGACTCGACTCGACTCAAGATCCAGATCCGCCATTGTGGAGGATGGCCATCACGATTGTCATGGGCTCATTTCAATAGCAAGTCCATGGAAAAGATGCCCAGCCTTTTCCTTTCCAATAGATTTTCAGCACTGATTGCTGTTATATCTGTGGCAATTCTTCACGAAGGGGTTGCCTTTGTGTCAGCGCCACGGAGGATACAGATACCCCAACCTGCCACCAGGCATTATTTCTCGTCGGAACCAGACGCAGCCCCATCGGCACTCGGCCATGCCGACATCAAATGGAAAATAAAACCAAAAGAAGGAACTCCATTTGTAGAGTCCAAGAAATGGCAGGTGGAGGCCAATTTGATGCGCATGGGCTACAAAGAAAAGCAAAAGGAGATTCCACTAATCTATTTCCCGCTCACATGGGGCCAACTACTCCTGGAAGCATGGAAGGATGACAAGCGAATAGGCAGATTTGGTATCACCTGCAACAGTGGACCTTCCGCCCCTCTCATTGAGGAAACAATATCAGATATATATGGCCCCTCAGCGGTTTCCCAAGACCTTGGAATTGCCGCAATAATCTACATGTTTTGTGAACCCGAGTATAGAGGAAGATCCATTGGAGTGCTGGCTCTGGAGGTCATCTCATTGATACATCACACCATTGGATGTAACTATACATTGTTGGTGGCAGATGACAAGAGTGATTCTGGAACTCTTGTCAACTGGTATGAACGTCATGGCTATTCAAGAGCACCCAAGTTGCAGGAGTTCATGGGCAGCCCTGGCGGGCAGTTCGGGGTTACAATGATCGGGCCAACCAATGATGGAGTACCAGAAGATCTCTGCATTGAGTGGTGGTAGCCATCACTAAAGATATGATGGGTCAAGACGAACAGTGTACTCGTGGCTACCGTATGATCGATCTCTTTAGTTAAGTAAGCCATGGCACCGGGAGTTCAGGAACAGTCCAGGGCCACAATGGACAGAAAAAGAGACGACCAGCATCGAGTGGCGGCAGCCTTGGTCCGGTACTAGCTAGTGGTACGTATATCTTTAGTGAACACGCCATGAGTGTACCGGTACCGTAGGCAGCCAAGGCCACAATGGTCAGGAAAACAGGCTTCCACGGCAGTAACGCAACAACTACGTAATCAGTAACCAACTATGCAGACTAGATGTTTTCGATATATCTATCTTTGTACTTGTTTACACTGAAAAAAGATGCTTGATTTGTTGGCTGCCCTCGTGGTGCGCTTGTGTTGCTGTGTTCGTGGGACATTGGTCCCTGTGCATGGGCGCCAAACTGACTGACTCATGTTACGCGCCATCTTGACCAAAACTTTTGGTCCATTCTACAAAGCGCTTGAGTTCGTCTTCTGAGACTGTGCTGCACGAGTGTCGCATGACCTTTGCAAAGTCGCGGTACTCCACGACGGGAACCTTAAGTTTGTCAGGTGGGACATCCCAAAGTTGCATTCTCTTGGCGCCGCATCGCGTGCATGTGTAGTCTTTGTCCGCTGGGTCGGAACTCAGTTTGGGCGGGCAACTAGAACAACTCGGGTAATTTTCGCAAGGCAAATAGAAACCATCCTTGTCGACAATGAACTGTTTGGCTTGCTGGCATCGTCGGAGCGGCTCCATCAAGGCCTCCTTGACCAACACTTTGATATCGGATCCACTGGCTCCCAACGTGATTTCTCCCAGATTGTCAAAGTCATGTTCAGTGAGGGAGTTTGGTGTGTCTCCCAGATGCAGTTTGCACATGAAGGCTCTTGCCTCTGGTTCCGGCAGAGGAATGTAAACACGCTTTTCAAAACGTCGGCGGATTGCAGCATCCAATTCCCAAGGAACGTTAGTAGCTCCAAGGACGAGGACTTGTCCCTCTTGTTTTCCCACTCCATCCATTTGCACCAAAAATTCTGTCTTGACACGCCTGGCCGAATCACTCTCTCCTTCGCTTCTGCTTCCACACAAGGAATCGACCTCGTCTGTAGATAGAAAATCGCAAAAGAAAATAGTGAGCACTAAAATCGCAAAAACAAGAAAAGCAGACATCTGTGTTTGTCTGGACGTACCAATGAAAATAATGGCCCGACCACCCGGGGACTCTCTGGCCATTTCAAAAAGATTCCGGACCAAACGTTCCGATTCTCCTTGCCATTTGGAGATGAGATCAGCACTACTGACTGAAAAGAAGGTAGAATCAGCCTCTGTTGCGACCGCCTTGGCCAAATAGGATTTTCCAGTCCCCGGTGGTCCATAGAGCAAGATTCCCTTGAAAGGTTTTCGCTTTCCGGTGAAAAGCTGTGGAAATCTGGTTGGCAAAATGACTGTTTCTTTGAGACTTTCCTTGGCATTTTCCAACCCAGCCACATCGGTCCACTTGACGTTGGGTTTTTCTGACACAATGGCGCCACTCAAAGCCCCACGCAATTTCTTTTTCTCTGCGTCTTCGTCCTCTTCCGTGCCATCCTTGGCTTTCGTTGCGGCTCCACCGCCGCCCTTGTTGTCTAATTCCGACTGCTTCTTCAAGTAGTCGCTGAGCTCTTCGGCTCGTTGCATATAACCCTCCACTCGCTCGAGCACGAGTTTCTTCTTGGCTTCATTCTTTTCGTACTTGAGGCCCAGAGTGAACCTCGCGAGGGCATCTCGGTACAGGGACAATGCCTTTTCATATTCTTTGTCGTTGTCGGCTTGGATCGCCTTTGTCACTATTTCAATGGCCTGGGGAATCAACTGGTTGTCCATCTTGGTATTGCTGTTATTGTTGTCGTGTATAAATGTAGCTAGTTGTTGTCTGTCTGTTGGTTGCTGGTTCTTTGTCTTGCCCAGCTGCTTTCAATCGTTGCGTCGATGTTCGAATTGTGGAAGGAAGGATCGAGCAGCGAGGAGAGGCGAGAACGTCGTGGCCGTTGGGGTGCCCGGCCATTCCCGGTTAGAGCCACGACTCCGCATTCTTGGTTTCAACGAGCGATTGCGGCTCTCAAAGTTTGCTCCAGTTCATTCAGCCCAAGCCCGGGACTTCAATTCCCACTCGGAATGGTTACTTCCTGCTGTGACATCTTGCAAGGCCAAGCAATAATAGATATCGGTACTGCTAGCTAGTAGCTGCACCATGGCCAACAAAGTTCCAACGCTCCTGCCTGCCGCACAACGGACTGCATGATGTCGTGATTTGGGCTGGTGGTACTGGTACTTAGCAAAGTCTCGACCTCTACCGTACTTTCTACCGGTGGCGTAGCGTCTGGTTGATCATCAAAAGACATTCTTTCTGGCCAGAGCAAGGTAAAAGCCGCTTCAAGCTTGACCAGGTCGTCCAAACTTTTATAGTATTTGGTGAGGACGCTTGTAGGCCAACTCCAGATAAGGCGCTAAGCCGATTGCAGAACGGAAAGGACAGTTGAAAGAGAATTTAAAAACTGTACATACAAGAGGAGTTGCATTCTATTCTCTTAGGGTGCTGTGCTGCTCTGCTGGGATATTGTTGCTTGCCATGTTCTCAAGGGGCCTGCGATCATTATAAACACTTTTTGTGGAAGGCCAAGTTGACTACGGCATTACTTGGTTCTGGATACAACCTTATGAGTAAGATTGATCAAGGCATCCCTGTGTACGCCATCACCCAACTCCAAAAGTGCTTCCACAGCTAGCTCCGAATGAACTCGGGCAAGCTCCTTGGTCCGTTCAATGCCATTGCTCTGATGTACAAGATCCAGGGCCAGCTCTACATCCCCCTCATTGCGAAACTTTCGCTCGATCAGGGGCTCCAAGTCTGGGAACTGCTCGGATGCAAACAGCACTGGTGCCGTTGCCAAACCAGAGCTAAGGTCCGCCAAAGCTGGCTTTCCCAGATCCGAAACGTTACCTTCAAAATCCAATATATCGTCTACCAATTGAAAGGCCATTCCAAAGTGTTTTCCAAACCGATAAGAAGCCCATACTTGCTCGGGTGAGTAACCTCCCAAAAGAGCTGTGCTCTTGCACGAGTTTGCCATGAGACTTCCCGTCTTGTAGTAGTTTTTGCGCAGATAGTACACCAGTCGTTCCTTATTCCTCTCGGTGGCGGAAGTACCTCTTAGTTGCATGATTTCTCCCCGTACTAAATGTTCAATAATGGTGGACATGGTCTCAATGACTTCGGTGTGTCGCAGGCGCGCCAGACATATGGATGCTCTTGCCAAAAGGTAGTCTCCTGCCAGAATGGCTACCTTGTTTCCAAATACTTTGTGTACGGTTGGTAGTCCTCGACGTGTATCCGAGCCATCAATCACATCGTCATGGAACAGAGAGGCCGTATGTATGAGTTCGGAAATCTCGGCAAGTCGTCGTTGCGCTTGTGGCAGGTCGGATCGTTGCCAGTCCAAGGGCGAGGAGAATAGTTGTTCTAATTCTTGTCCATGATGATGATGATGACCATTGACTTCCTTGCTCCCGTTTACGCTCTTGACAGAGGATGTTGTGGTTGTTGTTGAGCTGCTATTACTAGTAGCTGAATCAGCCAGTGCTCTCGAGAGTAGCAAGACCATCATTGGCCTGACTTTCTTTCCTCCAGCGGCACTTTCAAAGAAGTATGAGGCAGCCTTGTTCAAGACGGGGTGATCTGTCCCGAGCAAATCATCTCGGATGGACCGTGAGAGATCATCTAGCTCTGCTTTGGCCAAAGCAAATGGATCGGCTGTTGCATGTACCAGGCTTGGTGGCAACTCGGGCCAATAGGTTGTTGTCAAATCCAGTCCCCACTCGTCTAGTGCATCTTGTTGTGTTGAAACAGGGTCATTTACCCCAGCACCGTGTCCATTGACATGGCTGTGATTCTGTTGCTGTATTTCATTCTCCGCTTGCCAGAGTCTACTATCCTTTTGAGAAGCCTGATCCAGAAAGGACGATTTGACGGCATTTTTGACGGATTCTGTGGAAAAGGCAAAGTCCACAAAGGGAACGGATCCCTTGAACCGTCTTTCTGTCGGAATTTGTGCGCTTGTTCTCGAAGAAACCCTTGAATCCTTGTATAGCCTCGCCAGTAGGGCACGTCGTGTTGGTATTAACCTTTGGCTCATTTTTAGAATACCCGAGAGAGAAGATTCTATTCCAAAGATCAGATAAGATTATGGAGGTGCAACTTGATACCCGAAGCAAACAAAGGCCAACAAGATATCAGCTGGAGTGGCTTGGTTAGTGTTTTCGAGAGTGCTTGTGACTCGGCAACGGAGCAGTCCAATAAGTTACTGGTGGTACCTCTTGAGCACAGCAACCATAGCAAATACGGTATGTGAGTGCATTGGATTTTGGGAAGTGTATCGTCGTCGACTTATTCTTGCGTGGTCCATCGGAATGGCGAAGATCGATTGAACTTGTGGTGGGGGTGTTCGATAATCGTGCACGTCACTTCCTTTCAAACCCGCTCGTGACTGACTCCGTTTAGCCTTAACCCAAGGGATTGACAGCCTTCTCATATCATTGATCATAGGATCAATCTAGCACGCTTCACAACAGCACAACACAACATCACACCAACACACAACCAACGCACAATCAACTCCCTTTGCTTGGAGATCCAAAGCTTCCATCCCTTCAAGAAGATGTCATCTACAAGCAAAAAGTCCTCCTCCTCCTCCAAGTCGGTACGATTCTCCGCCGAGTCCAAGCCAGAAGCGCCGAAACGAAGTCGCGATGACAGTGACGATGACGAAGACATTGTCAGCCACAAGAGGGTGTTGAAAAAGAAGCGAACCGACCAAATGAATGAGGACGAAATGGACGATGTGGACGACTGGAACGAAGATGACGAAGAGGACGACGGCTTGCCTTCGATTCGAGAGCGTGAAAAGGCCAAGAGAGCGCGACGGAACAACCGAGAGCACGGCACGGAAGAGGATGATGACGATGATGAAGGTGGTGGAATGGAATCCACTAGCATTGACGAACGGACCAGTCTCGCTTCCGAGGGAATTCAAATTGAACCGTTTCACATGAAACAAGAGCAATCCGATGGTACAGGATTCTTTGATGGGGATACTTATATTTTTCGAAAGCGGGATGCGGATGAAGAACCAGATGCTTGGTTGGAAAGCCTCAAAGACAAACCCTCCACCAAATCTTCCACACTAGAGGATGCTAGTTCAGATGATGCAGAATCGGACAGCATGATCCAATCGGAAAGTCTCACCAAGGAAGAGTGGTATGCCAAGATTTTAAATCTAGTCAGTGACACGGAAACCATCATGCAGGCAGTCATTCGCTACGGGAGTCTGCTCAAACGAAAACCACTCAAGAGAAACAAGGCCAAAAAGCACGAGGCTGACAACGCCAGCACCAACAGCAATACAGAAGAAAATCCACAGGCTTCGGAAGCCTTTCAATTTGCACAAACGTCCTTGAATGATCTCACGGAAGCAGCCAATGCACTGCTGGGGATGGGAGACGTTGACATTTACCAAAAAACACGCAATGATTTGCTCAAACTAATGCCCTCCAACAATAGCAATAGCAATGAAGAGGACAAAGATGACACTGATCTACAAAATCAACAATCAGCAGACAAGACAAAACCAAAAGTATCGTGGGAATACAAGGGAAGTCAAGATGGACAAATACACGGTCCTTATACTTCGGAACAAATGAGAGATTGGACCCAAGCGGGTTATTTTGTGGGTGTCCAGGCAGTGCAGATACGTAGTGTGAAAGAGGAAGAAGCAAAGGAAAAGGATTTGGGGGAGGACTTGCTAGCAGACCTCATGGATGATGATGATGATGATGACGACGAGGACAAAGATAGTGGCAAACAGGGGGAGAAGAAAATGGTTCAAGGAGAATGGGTTTTGTCGGATAGTGTCAACTTTGGATCATATTGCTAATGCACACAAAATAATAATGGCAGTGCATGTAAAACCGCTTGTGTCCAACAAGGGTCTGTATCATAGTTCTGCTTTTGTCCTTTTCTGGCACGAACAGTGTCAAAGGCCGCAAGTCCTCATGGTGATAATCATTGTCGAAGCAGGTATGCCACCCTTCTTTATTTCCGTGGAGAGTCCAACTAGCTGGGCTAAGTTTGTCCAAGATGCCGATGGTACCAATACCCTCTAGCTCGATTAAATCAAACTGATCTTCTTGTGTGCTGAAAGGATACCACTACATGTAGCTAGATCCAAAATTAGAACATCTGATTCAATCCATTGTTTCATTAGAATTTGACACTAACATATTCATACAAATTCCGAAGCTACATGTTGTATTTGTCGTAGGTAATCTCCCACACATCTTCATCTACGGTGTCCTTGTCACTGACAAAGGCTGGAGGTGGAATTTTCGCTGGCGGATCCGGTTTCGGTATGATGGCTCCACTTTTCTTGGCGACTCGTACTTTGGTACCATCCTCCAAGAACTTTTTGTACACTCGAGTTGGTTTTCCAGAGGCTGGATCCACCAGATTGACCTTGGAATAGTGTATCGATCGTTCCACTTGCTCCACGCGGCTCTTAAGGCCCACAGCTGGATTTCCCTTGACGTGTTTGGGTCCCAAGTTGACACCTTCCACAATAACACGATCCTTGTATCTCAGCACCACCTTGACAACGCCCTGCTTGCCACGTTCAGGATGTTTGCCAATCACTTGGACCTTGTCGCCCTTGACAATATCCCATTTGGTCTTCTTGGCGGCTTCTCGTAGTTGTGGGGAAGGCTTTCTTCGGACCATCGACCGCTGCACTGCGGCTATGATACTGTTGCGAGTGGCCATATCAACTATAATACAGGCGTTGCTGTCTTCCAACTTAGTACTCGTGTAGTCTTTTCAAGATGAAGGGACCGCTGAGGGAACGGGTGGTTGTTTGTGTGGTTGTCATCATGGTCGCGGCCGGTCTTCGTGCAAGTTGGTTCTGGGCAGGAGGAAAAAAGAAAGGGGGGGAGAGGGTGAGCGACCTTTGAGTGGCCACCACACTTCCTCAGTATCTGGAATCGTTCCACGTGTAGATTACAATCGTTTCTTCTCTATATCTTACATGTCCGCTTCTAAAGTTAAAGTCTACTTTCTATCAATATACTCATCTCGCCCCTGTCAAATATTCTCACTTAGCATTCGAAATTTCGATTGAACAGTCGAAATATTCTCCCCTAACCCTACCCACGATCTGCACCCAAAAGTCCATCCAATGACACTTTTCGAAATCGTGGAGCACTACTACTACAAACATCGCGGCAATGAGCCAAGGAAGGAGGCCGAAGCAGCTATCAGATCAACAATGGAGGTTTCTGAAGAGGACTAGAGATGCTATTAACTCAGAGGGAGTAAGGTTTTTCAAACCACCAAGAGACTGGTCTCGCATTATCCCAACCAAGGGACGATTTGACAGCATGCTCCTCGACCAGCGAGGAATCAAATCCACAGCTGAAAGCTTTTGTATCAAACCAATTGCGGCGTGGCTTCCTCATCTACTTGTGCCCAACCATGTTCCTCGTTGTCCGCACTGCAAGAGGAGGGATGCCGTGGATTTAAAGAAGTCGCGATGGCTGAATTGTCCCAAGGTTCTATATGGTGTTTCGCGAATTAGATACCTCGACACGATGCTCTATCTATGTACTAGGTGCGGAAGACGTTTCTCTGGGTATAACAAGGAGTCAATGCAGCTGGATTCCTCGCTGTACTACGGATTCTTTACATTTTTCCTTGGCCATGGATATGCTGTCGATTTTGAGTTACACACACTCATCGTGGAGAGTTCTTACAAGGAAGCAACAGCCACCATTGCCAAGAAGTTGATCCGGCTAGCCAGGGTTGCCTATTACGAGGACCATCAGCTGTACCTCACTGCAATCGGCCTTGACAAAATTCGCCCAAGGAAAAAGCAAAAGACAATCCAACAAATGCTCCCTGCTGCCGCTCCATTAACTCCTTATCAAGCATTGTTGAACGCGACAAAGAAGGCTGCTTCCAAAGTGCGATCCACTAGGGCAATGTATGAATCAGCCAAATCCAAAGGAGCAACAGACTGGGAATTAAAGTCCATGCTCCCATCCAAGGATAATCACAATCACCACGGCCAGAAGAACTTTTTGCGCAGTCTTGGATCCACCAAAATACGCAAATTGTTGGATAATGGAATAACCTCCTGCTTTGAGCTTCTCGCAGCTGATCCAAAGCAGTACCGGACCACCATTCCACCCCTCAAGAAATGGCAGAGGATTGTCAAAACTCATTACGACAATTTGAAGCAACAAGCCAACAAAAGGAATTTGGAGGTGGACGCGGCACTGGCATTGTACAACAACAGTGTGGAAGAGTTGCGGCAGTATCGAGTGGATTATCCAGACCAGGTGGCGCAGGAAGATGGGTTGGAAGAAGAATCTGCAGCGGCGGAACGGGAGAGCAATCTTGTTCCATTTCCAGAATTCGGTGACAAGATGGGATATAATGGTCGCGTCCTCTCCAAGTATCGAATAGACAACCTAGTGACCAGCGTCTTCAAGCACCGGAAAGCTTTTCAGGAAGAGAAAATGCGAGGCTTGACTGCACGACTGTTGAAGATCGATTTCAACTACAAGCTTGCCCAAAAGATCAGAGTTTGGACCAAACAAGGGTGCAGCTTCCAACCATTCAAATGCATCATTACAATTCAGAATGAGGATGGTCTAACAGTTTTTTGGAAAGCATTGAAGCACTCTGAATCCTTCAGCGAGATAGAGCAGGACCTCATCCGTCTTCGAAACAGACTGAACAGCAATTGGCATCAACAACAGAACCGACCTGCGATGTGCCCGATGGAGAACACCGTCAAGGTTGCTTATGTCGATAACTGCTGCTCAGTCAGACGAATTCTGAAGAAGACCTTCGGCGATTCCACCCTCATCCTGTTGGATCCTTTTCACTGGTTGAAGCGATGGAACGATCTTATGGTTGATTCCTCCTCCATCCAAGCAGGAATATTTCGTGGCCTCATGTCCCGTGCCTTATTTGTCATTACTCCAGATGAGTTTGATCGCGCAAAAGACAAGCTTGAAGTGAAGTTGAAGCGAGAACCAACAGTCAAGGAGGTTCTGAAAGAAGCCAAGTCAATTATCCCAGATCCAGTCACTCTTCGAAGCAACATTGAAGCTGTGATTACGTACGTTCAGATGAAAGATGCTGCGACATATTGCGTGTTATCCAATAGAGTGGACGGTGACACTTCCCCCAGGCCCAAGTTGTTTATGAAGCAATGGAAGATGACAGAGATTGTCCGGAAGCAGATGGTGCACGTTGATGGTGGTTGCCTCAGCGATCCTCCTTCCGACCTGGTGGACATTTTTCGAAGGAATCCGGAAACAGACACTATCTATGTGGCTCGTGGAACTAACACCAATGAAAGGGACAACCTTGATCTGGCACTGTTGTTATTGGCGAAACATATTGGTATGTACCAGTTACAGTCACCCTTCAATTCATCTAAGAAGCGCATTTTTAGGTAGTGCTAGAATCGACATGCGTGCAGGTACCAAACGCCAACCAGCACGATCCCGATCCGTGACGTAATTTCTTCCAAGAATGCGTGCAGTGATTGGAATCGGGATTGTGTGTTCCACATGGGCATGCAACGAAGGCCCGCCCGGCAAGACTGCCTGCTTCACGATTTGGGATCCACTTTTTGGACCGTCTTTTCGGGAAGGCAAACCCTCTCTTTGGTACCATAAACTATATCCCGATTGGTAAGCGGGCGGTTCCCCAGCACACAGAATCCAAATCACCAGCCAGTGCGCCTAGCTAGTACTAGTAGCAGCAGTGTTGGCTAGCTAGCTTGCAGCCATGGCATCATCAAAGAAGGAGTTTGAGTGCCCTTACTGAATAAAAAATTCAAATCTGTGGGATATCAGCAATCTCACATGCAACAGAACAAGCTCTGCCACCAACTGATGCAAAAGCCCTTGGTTTGGACTTGCTTTCAATCCTATAGTGCTAGACAGACAAGATCAAAGGCCAGAGCTGATCAGCTGGTCTCACTGACACCGGTCGCCGCAAAAGCACCAAGAAAGCAGCAAGAGGACAAGATCCAGGGCAGCCATCCAACAAGGATTGCAGGAAGAGGATGCCCATGCAGGGCCTCACCCCAAGGTAGTGGTGGTTCCAAAAGAAGACACAGACCATCGGAAAACTGCAGCAAAACCTCGAATCGGCAAAAAAAAGGGCGCCGATGGGGAAAGAAATGGGTGAGCTAGATGAGGCTGGTATTTCCCTAACCAACATTGATCTGTTTCAACGCGAATCCGGATAGTGAGCCTAACAGTGAGGACAGTGAGCCCATTTGGAAGGGTCAGTTGCTACAGTTGCAAGGTGACAACAAAGAAGACTTGGATGATACGGCCCCCCAGACGAAAGAACAACATAAACGCATTCAGACTACTGTGTCAAGGCAAGAAATATACCCGAGCTAAACCGTTGCGAGAAAGCGAGGTGTCAAAATAATGGATATCCTCCGTAAGAAAAGGACACCTCTGGATACCTATGATGATGTACTTGATTGGCATTTGGAGGAAACTTGGTCGCTAATGGACAATGAAAAGCTGGGAAAGAAACCAGACTACCTCAGCAGGAAAAACTGCTCCGAATTCTTAAGGAAAGGTACTACATGAGCGACAAGTTACGTTTTGAAAAGGAGATAGTCTTTCCTCATTGCAATGGCCGGATCAAAGTCATTTGATTCAGTGCTCGGAATTGTATGGAGCAATTGCTTACCGATACACGCCTCACAGATGAGGATTTCTGGTTTTTCAATGATGATCCGAAGGCTCCACCACCTGAAAAAGCGACCTATGTGGGTGAGATGAACACGGGCGAGGCATAAAGAAACGCCTATAATGAATAAGTGGATGACCCAAAGAATGAGATAGGCATTGAGGTCCAGTTCTACTTTGATGGGCACGTCTACGGGCGTTTGACACTTCACCGCTTTGATGATGTCATTATCCTGTTTTACCCTTGACTATCGGAAGGAGGATCAAGCCTGGGCGATTGTTGTCTTTGTGGTTAACTATTCAGAAGGTAAATCCAGAGGAAAAAAGATGTTTGCGGATTCTAGTCATGACCAAGAACTTGAGGATTTGGTAGGTATGTTTGTGGGTAGGGAAGGAGAAACATCAAATAAAGTTACAAAAGCGAAAGACTTCCAAGCCCAAATTGAAACCATTTTGAGCAACTACATCCCCTTGGAGAGGAATGGGATGGTATGGGATCTCCATTACAGGGGAAAGCTCTACCGAAACAGGACGCTGGTGTTCTGGACTGCATTGGTGAGGGCTGACACCGAAGAGGCAGAACTGCATTGTGGAAAGTACAGGAGACGGGGGAACAATGTGAAGCAACTGTGTCGATATTGTGTCTGTCCCATTGAAGAAACTGACGACCCAAATGCGAAACATGGAGCCAAGACCATCTCAATGATCATGGAACTCATCGACACAAAAGACTTGGAAGGTTTGAAAGCCATCTTGCAGCAGTACATTGACAAAGACTGGTACAAGGTCCGATTAGATCCGAAATATGATACAAGAATCCATGGTGCATGCCACTCCGAGATGCTCCATGCCATTCATCTGGGTATCTTCTTGAATGTGAGAGAGTGTTTCTATGCCCAAATCGGACCAACTTCACAGTTGGCTAAAGATATTGATGCTTTAGCACAGGAATATGGTGCCCTTTTTCGTCACACTTGAAACGAGGCCTTCTCCCTTGCAAATTACAGGAATCAGCGAAGAGAGGCTCATGGCCAATGGTGTACGAGGCGTTTTTGTTACTGATTTGTCTGCTGTTTGAGATCACCAAGGCGTGAAATGTTGAGCAGAAAGCTTTCAGGGGAAGCATATGTCAGACTGGTTGTTGTGGTGGGTG